ATCAGCTGATCACAACATAATATAATATATAATTATATATACCATCATAGTAAACAGGTATTATATAAGTATAAACAGTATAGATGGGATTCCCTCGCTTGCGTCCGAGACACAAATTTATCGAATAATAAAGCGCTGCAGCACTTCATGATGTCAGTTTAAAGCACAAATAATATATTTAATTCATAGGTACAAAGATATATTTAAAAGAAATGCTTTTTTTATGAAATCTATTTTTTTCCCTCAAAATCATAATTGTATACATTGTTTGGTCCCTTAATAATTGAGGAGCGGAAGTTAAACGTTAAGGATGTGGAAGTTAAACAGCTTTCGTAAGGGCCGGTTATAGGACTTCGAGCTCCTCCGTGCTTGTGCACGTGGAAGGCACGTTAAGCGCACGTTGGTTGCGGATACATATGTAATCCTTAAAATCCACTCTGATTAAAACACCCACCAAACCACACTGGGTCAGTGTGGTAAGTCATAGTGCTTTCTCCCTATTCGATTCGATTTTGTCCATAGGCGTGTGCCTCAAAAGTGGGGGTAATAGTAAAACAAGATTCTGTATATTCACATCAGGGTGATGATATTTTTATTGGATATCTTGTAATCTACGAGGTTTCCGCCGGAGGCTTCGCCCGCGTGGTCTTGTAATACATAACGAATCTTACTCGTGAATCACTGAATATTGAATTAAATTCCTGCGTATCGACAATAAAGATGATGACTAATTTGTTTGTCCGTCAGAATATTAAACACGTACGTTTTATTTTTTTGGCATAATCAATAAATTACGGCAATACATTTAGTTGAAATGTCGCATGACATCACACTTTTGTAACTTTTCTACGTAGTTGCGACGTAGCGAGCCCCCACTCCTCAACTTTAACACCTATTATCTAAGCTGGTTCTTGTAAAATTGAAAAAAGTAAAAGTAGCCAATATATTTCTATATTATCAACTGACGGACTATATAAAATAAAATCCCTATTGTTTAATTAAATAAAAATGAAAAATGAATAGAATTGTATTAAATTGGATCCTTATTGTTTAATTGTTTTTAAAATTGGATAGATTTTAATGGTATTTTTATTTAAAATCATTCGTAGGTATTTGTTTCCTTTAAAGTACTCCCCTCTTCTTTTCAAGCACTTACTAATGATAAACACTTAAGACAGTCAGGAGGTTGCAATAATAAACAAAAGTGATAAAACACAAATTCAAGTTAAAAAAAAAACACTTATCAAAAGAGACGGGCGGGGCACAAACGACCGTTGTTCTAAATTTTTAAATTGTAATTAGTATACTGTCGCTTTAAACTGCATATAAATATTTCAGTAAAAAATATTTTTTCAATTTCACGCTAAACTTCGCATTTCATCGTTTCTCCAGAAATTTGCACAATATAAAAATATGCCTCGGAAGTAAAGATTAAAAAAACAAAAAGGCTGTTATCACTTGAGATATCAACAAACCGTAAAGAGCAGATTACGCGAGAAATTATGGGGAACGCAGTATTGTTGATCGCATAAAAGTAGCTTTTGACTATTATAATATAATAAATTAAGGTTTGCGACGTTTTTTAAAAAATTCTGACATTGGTAATAATGAATAGAATTAATTATCTCTTGCAAAAGCACACTATAGAGCTAAATATATGTCTATTCATAAGAGTTTTTAATTTGAGATTACTTACAGTAATATATCGAATTAAAAAAACTCAAAGTGAGTTTATTTATAGATATTTTTTTCAAGATTTGGCACTATGGCTAAGTTCCTTTGCCTGTCCCATGGACGAAACAACAACTACTATTTATGGATTCAATAAAGAATATAATAATCCAAGATTTGCTGTATGGCTTAGTTCCTTCGCCTGTCCCATGGATGAAACTACTATTACTTTTTATGGGTTCATCCCTGTCTATAAAATAGTTATTGTATCTACAAAAAAATTGACAAATTCAACTCACAAGATAATTTATTTTAATTTTTAACTGATAATCTTATTTCTTTTTCTTAAATTAGAACTTATTACACAACCTGCAGAAGGTAGACTAAGAATCACCTTCCACAAATAAATTGATAGCGTATTTTCAGAGTTATGTCAGAAGCAAAAAAAGCTGCGTGTATATTTAAAGAAGAAATCAAACTTCGAAGAATCGAAAGACGTATGACCCACGCCTTATCGCGCTTGAGTATTCTACAATCAAATAAATGTTGACTATTCTCTAATAAAATAAACGATGAACTCTACATCGAACACAGCGCTGTCACAATATAGACGTTCAATCAATTAAAATCTACTGCAACGTTAATAATGGTTTAATTTCATCGAAACTACAGAATAGCGTATTGAGTTTTCATTAAAAGCGTACCAATTCTGTCTACATCTAAAGATGATCTATCTTTTTGTTGAAAAAAATATTGGCAATATAATAAACAGTATTTTCGACTTGACTAACAAGGCGCCGCCTAAACTGAACTCGTTAAATTCAAATTGATTGTGAAATTTATAAACAAAGATATAAAATCTTAATAACTGTAAACTCGTAATGAGAAAACTATATATATCTTAAGTTTAAAGTGTCTGTTTAAGGAGCTTAATGCCATATATTGGTAGGATATAATACAAAGTCAAGTTTGGTTAGGTTCCACAAAGAGTCAACTTATATCTCGTAATTTATATCTTTTTACTGTGAAATTGTTAAATTTTTGGAGTTATTATATACTTGATTTGTACGAGTACATTAAATTGAAATACAAATATTATAGGTAATAATCGGATGAGTTTATCAGTAATTATCCTTAAACCTTCCCTCCCAAATCCACAATTAACTATTGTATATGTTTAAAAAAATCCGAATTCAAAAAACAAAATGAGATGGATCATTACGTACCGTCAACTGTACACCAATATACAAAACTGTCAAATCTCACCATTCAATTTTAAACCTTAAAATGTTGAAGATAGAGGGCAAAATCCATTGCAGAAATATGACATTGTGGTAACCTGACGTGCAGCCGTGTGCTTGAGGATTAATATGAAAATCAAAAGAAAAGGTAAGTACATGGAGTAAAAAGCACGCATATTTTAAAAGCATAATCTTTGTACTACCAATCTGTACCGGAGCATCGTACCACCGTTTATTTCGTCTTAGATAATTTATTTTTATTATTCACTTTTCGTAACTTGAAATTTTGAGTAAATAGCAATTTGTTGTAAAATTGTTTAAATCCATTTATTATTACCTGTTTCCATTATTATCACGAGTTTGAACTCAAGATAAATGTAAACTATATCAAATCAAATATAATAAAGTTAAATTAGTCACCCGAAGAAAAGGGGTATGTAATTGTTATATTTAACTATTTCAATATTATTATTTAGGCAACCATACGAACTATTTTTATTTCCATTTTTGTTTGTAACAGTTTTTTGTTTACCCTTTAATAAATCGAGTTCTTAAGCTTAGTCAACCTTTTATTCATTTGCCTTAGCATCGAACCCGTCCCAAATCTTTGATGCTGTTTCTGGTGCCCCCTAAGACGTGATACCCTTTTTTGGTAAAGCAGGAGAAATACGCCTTAAGCCACTAGGGCTCTCCGACCACCCTGCCCTGAAAAGAACAGGTTGAAGCGTGGTTGGCCTATCAGGTAAAATCCACTGCGGTACCCTCGGTGGGGGGAAGGATGCAGGATCTAGCAAGGAGCTCGCTGGATAAGACGTGAAACCTTAAGCTAATACTAATTTTGCGTATGGAGTAGTATTTTGTGTTTCTATGCATTTCTATCTCATTTTATATTGTCGATTTAGTTCTTTGTGTTTATGCGCAGTAGTAATATTACTTTAATCATTAATTTATTTATTCGAAACTTCAATAATGTTTCTATGACATCATCTGTTTGACCGTCCATCTGTCTATTACAACTAATTAACTGGGTGGATTGAGATGCATACGCTTAATATTTTTTTCTTTTATCCTTTGACATATTTTTTGACCTGTCACCTACACAAATGCGCCACATAATTTAAGTCATACATAACTTTAGATATTGCTTAATTGCGTTAGGTGATCCCTAATCAATGGTGAAATACATAGTAATATATAAGTTTACTGAAAACGCGTAATAATGTAAGTCTGTCTATGGCCTAAAGATGGGTCGGGGAAATAAATAACGAAATTTTATAATATTTGAGCACTTTCGGGAGATAATATAGAATAAAAGGCAAACTTTGTGAACTATACCGTGTGACTAATCGAATGAAAAGGCTTTTTATGAGAATATTAAACGTTGGATTCAAAATTCTTAAAAGGTTCTTAAGAATTATTATGTTTTGTCAAAGGCAATCATAAAATTAAATCGATACAAACACATTACACGTAGTCTCAATGAAAACGCTCAAGCCATACTGAAAATGTGACTCGAAAAAAAAATATTTACTACCTATAAGCAAAAAAAAAGATAAACAAAAAGGTCAACGTCACTTCATACCATCTAGCGGCTGCAGCGCTACACGGGGAAATCTCAGCTGAGAGCAGGTCGCCACCTGACGCACCCCACCCCCCACCGAGCCGCCATCAGCTGTTAATGTCCCCCCCTCTCGCCCGCCAGCCTTTCCCCTTCGTTTGTGTAATGTGAGGAGGCAGGGCCTGAATGGATTAGACGCGGAACGGGCTTTTCTCTTTTGTTTTCTTTTGAACGTAACTCTCACGAAAGTTTTTTTCTCTCATTTCGAATATTAATTACAGGTATTGTTGTAAGGAGTTTTATTATTTCGTTTATCGTTAATCGGATATATTTTTTACGGAATAATAGGCGTTATTGCTTTAATATATAATCAAATAGCAAAATATATTTTGGGATCTATATTTTTAATAAATAATACATAGTTTAAAAGATATTTTGAAAGTGGATTTAGATTTCCAAAATATATTAAATACTCTGTCAGATGGACACTTTTAATAAATTATATAGAAGTTTCAATAATGGTATCGATTTGATTCGTTGCCTCTAGAACTTAACAAAAATGCCAACTTTTAATAATATATCGCACATTATGCCGCCAAATGAATAATTTATCGCAGCGTGTCGATTCGGGGCGCGCATCCTCGAGAGGGGCCGAGGGCGGGGCGAGACGAGGGAGGGGGCAGCGGCCGACGTCAGTCCGCGCCGAGCGGCCGAACGAGCGCCATGTCTGCGTGTGCGCCGCGTGCCTGCTGTCGGCCGCGCGCCCCGCCGACATTGCTCGACATTACGGCCAAAATAGTCGCCGCGAACATCCCGTTCCAACGCATTGAGGAGCGCTATGAACGTATTCCAGAGCCAGTGCAACGGCGCGTCGTGTATTGGTCTTTCCCGCGGGATGAACGGGACATATGTATGTATTCGTCCCTGGCGCGAGCGCCGCCTGATGACCACCGCAACATTGCCTTCTGTCGCGGCCTCAAGTTGCTGGAGGCCGGTTGCGTGGAGAACGTGCTACAAGTCGGTAAGTGCCGCCGCGCGCCTGCGCTTGTTTACTAATATGCGCCTCGCCCACCCGCGCCGTATAAATAAAAACCTCGACGTGTGCGATCGATAGATGCTCCTCTCGGGAATTATTCATGCGTCGGCTCGTAAAAGTTTCAGGAGATTAGGACTAGGGCCGATAGTGCCACAAGCGTCCCAGCTCCACCGTCATTAGTGCGGAACACCTATCTTTATTATGCATATGAAGCAAACCGTAAACTTATCAGCCTAGGACTCCGATAACCCGGTAGTGATACTCGATACGTTCGATTGATCAGATTCATATTAATTTGAGTATGAAACTTGTGACTAAAGGCCCTATTACGTTCCCCTGTGGTAAGCCATTTGAAACAGCAAATGCCAGTGCTAATTAATGAACCTATTCATTATCATATCCTTTTAACATTCATAAACCATATGGCAACGCTTGATAATTACATTTTCCTTTGCATGAATAACAGAATTCCCCGCTGGATATTATCGATATTGTCGAACGCTTAATAAAAGACTACTTTCAAAACTACGTCAGAAGCTTCGTAAAATTCGGCTAATATTATCATAACTGGATGTCCCGTTACACACATAGGGAATTACACAACCGGCTTTTCTTATTCGGTTCGCATTACTTGCTCGCAAGAGACAACATAGGTACTCGGATTGCATTAATTCATGCAGACATCGTTTGTTACTGTCGCTGCTCTGAATAACGGACGCGAATAAACAATATTAATTGCCGGTTTTTATTTTTATAGGGTCAGGCGCGGTTTTATTGTGCTCTGTCGTGGGAGGACGGGCGTTACATATTCATTTGTGCTTATCTGCCATCAGAGAGACGATTACTGGTTATTCGGAGCCATTTCGGGTCGCGTTGCGGTCGCATACGCCACATTTGGAGTTATTATGACGTTCATAATGCTCTCACGTCTCAGGGGTACCACGAACCCGCTGAATATAATAAGAGATATGGAGTGTTAATGCGATGGAATACTTGAGTCATGTCCGCAATATGATTTTAGGTACTGGCTTACGTCCAACTTTAGGGCGACGCAGAAGCCGCATTGAGATACCACTGCACAAAGTGTACTTAAATTCGAGATAAACCTTAGAAACATTCACATGTCTAAAATAATACTAGTTCCCACACCCATATCATCTGACTCACACAATCTACGATCAGACGGTGCCGCCCACTTGAAGTAAAAACGGGCTGAAATATATTCTCGGAATTTAGTTGTAGGTAACGAAGGTTTTCCTTGCCTTCAGGAAGGATTAAATTATCTGCCAACTAAATTATAGGTCACAGTTTAAATGAAAATTCTGGCTAGCTTTTTGGAAACCTGATAATTCTGCGTATATAGTTTTTTTTTCAATCACAATCATAAGGTAAATACTGTCTTACTGCTAACATTTGCACTCTGTGACACACACCAAGATAAACCGAAATATCATACTAACAAAAAAATATCTTGTTGGCACCGTTCGGCAGCGACTGGTTACCAAACAAGAAACACCAGCCAGATTCGAGAGTACATGAATAAAACAACATTCAATCTGCCCTTAAGGCCCATGCAAATGATCTCAACATTTTAAAATTATGTGTAGGTATTTGATTGTCATGCAAAAACCCAAATGCACCCGGCTACATTCTGTTAATAATTTAATGGTAATAACTTCATACGGTTTTGTTAGACGGTCCTCGCTTAGGACTGAACCGGTTTTCATTTAAAAGAAGATCGCCCGATAGGGATGGATATATTCGATTGAATTATTGATAATAATCCATGTATAGGGATCTAATTTTAGATTAGCATTAGGTTGTAAAGAACTGTAGAACTAATTTCATCGTAAACAGTAGATGTTTCTATGATAGTGTTAATTTATATTTTAAGTTCTAATTTTTGTTTTATTTTAAGTTCAATTTTTTTTTCTTAAATAATACTTACACTACCGCATTTTTTGTTCGAATCTAGTGTTGTAAATCTATTGTAGGAGGTTATTAATATTTCTGGTCACATCGCACTGCGCCGACGCACAGATGCTCTTCCCAGAAGGTTGGAGTCAAACGTTTTATCGCCGAAAGGTCGTCGTGACATGATTCATTTCGACGTGGTGATCTTTGATATCCTTTCAAGTCCGTAACGAGTTTCTTGAGAAGCTGAGGAACTTTTTGCTCTATGTCTATTATGAGAATTTGGAAAAATAAATTGTTTGAGGCAGGCTGGTTTTTATGTGTACATGAACTATTTAGAAATCATTCTGTCGTCATTACTATTGTTTGTATTTCTGACAGAATTATTATCTATTCTTTCAACCTATCGTTTCAAAACACTTTTTTTTTGTGATAATTGTTTAGGTGTTTATTTCTATGACTGACTGATGTAGCGGTACTAACACTTCTTACTTTTCCAATAATTAAAATTGTCTTCGGTATAAGTATATGTAAGAGTTTATATAACGTTTGTGTTTGGTATACCCATTCTTATTGACAAGTAAAATAAGTACTGAATGAAAAGTATAAACGTATCCGAATTAAGGTTATTCGGAATTACTCAATAACTACTAGTGGGCCGTCAATTTACTTATAGTATTAAAATACTGAATACCTCAATGGCTTATTATTAGACGCACCCATTTTGATGTCATCGATGACGGAGTCTGTATACTAGACATATAATCAATTCATTTTGTAAGTATCCCCTTTATTTCGGAACCGATAAATAATTGGCCAAACGATGGAACTATTTCTGATATAGATAACTTGTACATGAGAGCAGAGTTGAGACATTATGAAAAAGATGTGCGTCCTCATAATGAATGAGCCCGTTTTATTACTATCCATGTTCAATTCATAAGTTAATTGAGATTACTTAATAATGCTTGTATTTGATTCCTATTTGCATCTGTCATTTTATCTTAAAACGTGTTCATAAAATTAAAATGAATATTCAGCTAATAATCTTGAAATGTTGTTTAGTTTACATGAAATACGTGCGCATTATTATCATGATTTGCTAAAAATGATTAAGTCACGTTTGTATGATAAACATAGAAATAAATGTCTAGTAGCAAACACATTAGACTATTCATCTGTTCACACCAGCATATCCGTAGAAAAAATGTATACCCAGTCTGTAACAATCGCAATTCATAGCAACAAAGAATATACTGAAAGACAAACTAGTGCACTGAATGTGGCTCTGTCCAATAACAGAGTTTCATAGTGTCTACACAAGAACTGTTCTGTCGCACGACCTCGCACCAAAAACTGCTATAAACTAATCTTTCAAAACGCTTACAAGACCACTCCTCGTCCCATCTGCGACAACGAACGAGGGGGACGGAGGAGGTCTTTCTAAACTGGTCGCACTCACAAAGACCTGCTTGTAAGTACCAAAAGCACCTCCGCATTTTAGTCCCGCTGACAATGTTACCGACGCAATTGGTCAGGACCCTAACCTTCATAGAATAAAGTATGTTTTGCAGTAATTCCTATTACGTTTGTCCGGTAATATGTAAGCTGTCGAAGGCAAACAAGGTTCGGAAGAGTCGTGAATGCCCGATTTGATAGTGCACCTATAGACAATGTGTAAAATGTTAAACTTAAAAACTTTGGTTTTATTGAACATTATTACAACTTGATGAAACTAATAAACAGGGCAGAACTACAAAAACTAAAACGATTAAAACACAAAACTGTGTAACAAACTTCAATTCGTCTTTGACAAAATATCCATAAAAAGCAAGTAATATTCAATATTTTGGATAACTTGAAATGCCTTTTTACTATACATTATAAACTTATCAAGTCTGATGAATTAATTATTATCTATTGCTTGTGAAATGAAGGAATGGATAGCTTCGTAATTAAAAACGACAGTGTCGGTGCACTGAAGTTACTTTGACATGGAAATACATTTCAGTAATTAATTTACATAGTTACATTCATAAACTTCATTGCCTTTTCTATTGGATTAAGATTCAGCCCTTTAACACTATTAGGTTACTGACACTTCCAAGTGAATAATCAATTATATCATTGGAATATACATAAGAATTAACTGGTTGATCTGACCAATTTTAAAATTTTACTGAAACTTTAATTAGAGATAGCTTTTTATTTTTTATTTCCTTAAAATCCTGAATCGAACAAAGATAAATTAACAAGATTAATCTAAAATCAACTTCCCTCTAATATATCTATATTCGAAATTAGGTAGTGTTGTATCATTATTTACAACAAAATATGAATAATATAAGTCAATTTTGTGAATACTTTAAAAAAGCAACGTATTCAATAAACAAATTTAATTGATAACATTTTTATTAAAATAATAACTAATGATATCAATTACCGTGCTTATTTTAGCTAGCAATTGTATCTTTGAATCTTGTGGGAAATGTACACATAGTAGACTTTGAAGATGTCACCTCTTCGATAATTCTACGACCCAAATGTTAGGAGAATCGATGATATCCAACACACTATCGACAACTTCAGATATGAGGTGCCATGTCCAATAAACTATTTCACAAATATAGTCGTGATCAGGTGATAAAATTGTGAAGTGCTTTCGTCAACAACAATTCCTCATTCGTTTAGTATAGTGGTCCTCGAAACTATTCTAGTAATACTACTACTCTTTTGGAAACTCATAATAATAAAACAAACCTAATTTTCTCTGTAGTATTAATTACATGCATATTATTTATCAGTATACCATAGAGAAATCAAAATTGATCAAATTAGACCAAGTTTTCATCTTAATCGGAAGTTTAAAATATTAGCAAAAATATTTATTTTCGCTGTTTGGGTCGATTGCCTGAACATTGATAAAATATGCTTACTAGTAGCGAAAAGTAACAAGTGCTTGATAAATTGAAATTCGTCAATCCTATTATGTCACGGGAAGCTCAGTGGTTAGAGCAGTATCCCGGATTGCGAAAAGATATTTTATCAGATATTTATAAATGTAGCGTTGT